CATGCACATGCCTATAGCTTTTGGAGATCACGCATTCTTATGCACATAATATAGATATTAATTGGTCTTCTATGTCACTGAACTGCGTTCCGATTACATGTCGGCTGAAGCATCCTTATCAGTCACTCGGTCCATTCATCAAAGGCTTAGATTTATTTATTTGTTTATTTTTATGATTTATCAACCTTCTCCAGGTTATTTAAAGCCACAAAATATTTTTAGATTGTTAAAAATCTTCTTTTTTTTTTTCGAGATAATAATGATTTACTGATACCCATCCTACGAATTAACCTATAGCTGGGGGAAACCGTCCTGAGTGTGACGATAAACTACATCCGCGTCCTGGGTAAGACGATAAACTGCGTCCAACAGCACGGCCTCTGATCAGAAGGTTTTGAGGAGCGCAAAACCACCTCTTAATAGCTGGTGTTCCCAGGTCCAGATATGGGGAAATAGTTAACCACGAAACTGGGGTAAAAACACTATGAAAGTACATTATTTACATTATTCGGACTATTGTCCTCATCTTTTTCGACATATCTATCACAACGTTTCGACCGTTGTACGCTTCGGCCTTCTTCAGGTGGTTGGAATGTCGAACCGAGCCCTTTATTTCGCTCACTGGGGTAGACTGTTCTAGTTCCACGTACCATGTTTGATGGATGTCAGTTATTAGTTATCTCTTGTTAATTTCCCTCTGAAAGTTCTCCACTGCCTTAACCGGGTATTAAACTCACACTCTTGAGGACACATGGCACGGTGGATAAAGGCGTTGGTTAGATCCAGTGACAGGATCCAAAGTCTACCCCAGTGAGCGAAATAAAGGGCTCGGTTCGACATTCCAACCACCTGAAGAAGGCCGGAGCGTACAACGGTCGAAACGTTTTGATAGATATGGCGAAAAAGATGAGGACAATAGTCCGAATAATGTAAATAATGTACATAATACCTCATCTCAGAAATATAGACAGACTATGAAAGTGTAAAACAGGTTTTAATACCAGAAATACGTTTTAAAAAAATTATTTGCAGGCAAACTTCGGCAAATCAATATTGAAGTGACACAGCGCATGCGTTATCGGCGAGAACGAGAAAACAAGCGAGAGATCTCGGTTTCTTGCCCGAGACCGAGGAAGGATGAAAAGAGCAAACTTTTTGCTTCAGGGGCATTTTGTTCTCTGAGACTGGTGATGGTTATATACATGTTTCTAAGAAAGAGTGATAGTACTGTTGTTTACGGTGTGCAGGAAACAGAGTCCCGAGCGAAGCTTTGTTCCGGTTTCCACGTCAGCTGTCAGCGGGAACAGATTCGAGTGAAAATTTATTTTTCCTACCACCCAATTTTCGTTTAAATCACACACACTAATAATCAACGGGTGCTGGTTTAAAATGTAAAGTTCAAAAACTCTTAGGGTCAGTTAAAATTATGCCGAAGAGCAACGACAGAATAGTTTTGATGCCCATGGCAAATTGAATTGTGCAAGTGTAACCTAGTGTTACCTGCCGCATGTTCAGGTTATCGGCAATTAAACCGGTTCCCCCACCAGGCTTTTTTTATGAAGAGGTTTGTTAGACATCGAACAGGATTAAAAACAAGAAAGAGATAGATAGAGGGGTAAGAAAGAGGATGAAAAGAGCAAGAGAGAGAGAGAGAGAGAGAGAGAGAGAGAGAGAGAGAGTGGGGAAGAAGGGGATGAAAAGAGCAAAAGAGAGAGGGGGTAGACAGGGAGATGAAAAGAGCAAGAGAGAGAGAAGGAAGAAGTGGAGAATGAAAAGAACAGGATAGAGAGAGAGGGGGAAAGGGGATGAAAGGAGCAAGAGATAGAGAGGTAAGAAAGAGGATGAAAAGAGAAAGAGAGATGCGGAAGAAGGGGAGGAAAATTGCAAGTGTTAGAGAGAGGGAAGAAGGCAGATGTAAAGTGTAAAAGAAGAGAGGGGGGCGAAAGAGATGGAAAAAGGGACAAAATGTTTTTTGATGCCCATGGCAAATTGAATGGTGCAAGTGTAACCCAGTGTTACCTGCTGCATGTTCAGGTCATCGGCTATTAAACAGGTTCCCCCACCAGGCTTTTTTTTAGTGAAGTGGGTCGCTAGACAACGAACAGGATTAAAAGCAATCTTGTAGGGTCACTGATCATCTTGCGCAGTCGGTTAGACTAGGCTACATATGCAGGCAGTGCGGCATCGATGGGGCCCGACACTGAAGTTAACGCCCTGGGCGAAGGTTCCTCAGCGGAATTAACGGCCATGTATCCGTAAAGAAAGCGAGAGTTCAATATAATAGAATAAAATGTAATTTTACTTTATTTTTTGAAGAATAAAATTGATAAAGAAAGACGAAAATTATTTCTGACTCAACCTAATAATACTTTTTAGACAAGGAAATCTAAGGAAGATCATTTCTTTTTGACAATCCTTATTTGTTTCCTTTAATATTACAGATCGACTAAAAATCAATTCATAGATTTTGATCTACAAACCTGCATAACGAGTTCTGTATTTCAATAAGATGGAAACAAAACAAAAACCTCTCTCGATGTCATTCTGAGACAATAATTCCTGATAGCAGTTGTCTTTATTTGTTTTGTCTTAATTGAAATGTGTTTCTTCGTTTTCTGTTCTCAAACTGAAACATTCACGATATCATTTCCACGGGCCATAAACTGTTACAATAAAGAGAACACTTTTTGCCTTGGCACATCAATTACTCTAAATGGGTCATGTAAAGAAATCGGTCGTTTAAAGAAATGAAGGATTTATCAGTCACGTAACTTGATGCGAATTTTTATTTGGATTGGAACTCCGGTAGAGGGCGTTGTTAATGTGACTTCTATCATCGAAAAAAGAACATTATTGACGCGAGTTGCTAAAGAGTTTATGATTTGGATGTTATGGTTAATGAGCATAGAAAAGTAAAAGAAGAAGAAAAACGAAAAGAAAAGAAGGAAATAAATTGAGGAAGTTTAGAAAAAACGTTAAAAATGAGTGATAGAGACAATGTGTATGGAGGAGATGAGGGATGAAGAGAGCAAGAGAGAGTGAAAGAAGAAGGGGGATAAAAAGGGGAAGAAAGAGAGTGGAAAGATGGAGGATGAAGAGAGCAAAAGAGAGATGAGGGAGAAGGGGATAAAAGAGAAAGAGAGGAACAGGGGGAAAGAAAGCGGATGAAAAGAGCAAGAGAGAGGGTGAAGAAGTGATGAAAAGTGCAAGCGTGAGAAAGAGGGAAGAAGAGGAATGAAAAGAGCAAGAAAGAGAGAGAGAAGGGGGTAAAAGAGCAAGAGAGGAGGGAAAAGAAGGTGGAGAAAAGTGCAAGAAGGGGGATGAAAAGAGTAAAAGAGAGGGGAAGAAAAGATGAAAAGAGCAAAGAGAGAGAATGAAGGAAGAAGGAGGCAGAGCAAGGGAGACAGCAGGGGGGATAAAAGAGCAGGAGAGAGGAGTGGGGAAGAAGGTGGTGAAAAGTGCAAGAAGGGGGATGAAAAGAGTAAAAGAGAGAGGGGGAAGAAAGAGATGAAAAGAGCAAAAAGAGAGAGAGAGGGGAAGAAGGAGGGTAAATAGAGCAAGGGAGAGAGAGAGAGAGAGAGTTAAGAATGGGTATGAAAAGTGCAAGAGAAGGAGAGAAAGGAGAGAAAGGGAAGACGAAAAGAAGAGAAACATAAAAAGCGAGTGGAAGTTGAGTTGATAGAGAAATACTTTTTTTAACGTCATACCCTTTCATGCTTTTTACACTCAGTTGAACTACTGAATAACAGAGCTCCTAGGAATCGTCTGGCCCTGTACTGCAGCCACCTTAACAACATGGAACACAAGTTCTCTAAAAGCACTACAGAATCCCTCCCCACTGGCCCCATTGATGCCTGACCGTTCGAGTCCTGTCTGAATCGCCCCCAAATAGCTGTTGGCGACCTTAAAAAATGGGGATATACCCCTGATGTTGATTCCAGCTACCAATGCGGGCAATCGGAAACATCTAGTCTGTTCCAATCTTGAAGATCCACGCGCACTTAACAACTGTAGCGACTCAATAATAATAAGATAATGCCGTGGGCGATCATGGCTCTCCACGGTTTTCTTTTCTTTAATATCTAAGAAGTGTCATAACTGGTCACCTGGGTATAACCTCATGGGAATTAGACTCTCCTGCTTTGCGTCCTTCCTTACTCCTTTAAACAAATATCCTACTCAGAGGGGGTGGGGTAAAGATGGTGATATGTACAACGAATATCACGTCTTACATCTGTTTGACGGAAGAACATTACTGTCAACGGCAAGGAGATACCGTCTCTAAATAATAGACACTGCAAGCTTTAGAAGAACGCTAATCGTACCAGGACACTTAGAATGTTTTGTTTGTTTGATTTGGTTTAGAGGTATACCAAACTCTATGGGTTATTTAATGCCGAAATTTATATATTTTGGACGCAGTCGCATGCCTTCAACTACAAATAAAATGTATTTTTGACCATTTTGCAATAAACTGTATTGTTGGTCATTTTGCTATAAACTGGCGTTGTTGGTCATTTTACTAAAAAATGTATTTTTATACTTTCATTGTGTTCTATTTTTTTTTTTGGAGGTTTCATTATTTGCCCATAGCTGGGACCCTAACAGGTACTACCACCCCGGGTCAGGGTGGACCTGAGAACAGCAGTAATTAAGAGGTGGCTCAACGTTCTACAAAATATCCAATCTCCTGATCAGAGGCCTTGCTGCCGGGTGTAGTTTATCGTCATACTCAGGACTACACTTAAAATGCAACTGATAGATAAATAATAGTTTTAATTAATTCGCTTTTTACGGCTTAACACGTTGCAGGTTATTTAAAGCAAGAAAATCTTCTGCGAATGTAAGAATTTTTTAGAGATAACAATGATAGTTAACCCATAGCTGGGGGAGAAGACCTGGATTCATACTTTTCTCAAGGGCATTTGCGTCTAAGTTAATATAACCAACCAAACGCAAATTGGAACTTAGTTTACCATTCCGAGCCACTTCAATTGAAGCTTACAACACCTCGTATTCCCAAGCAGTCATTCATCTAGGTACTGACCATGCTCGAAGTTGCTTAACTTCGGTGATAGTACGGGAACAGGTGTCTCAACGCTATATGACCGTAAGCCATAGATAATCGTCAAGTCTTCTTGGGGAAAGATAGTGTGGTAGATTGCCATAGTTTTCTCCAAGGTTTTGAACTGAGTTTTTGAATTTTCTTTGTCTGTCAACCAATTTCAGTGATCCCAGTCTTACTATTTAATCCATACCATTTACATTATTCGGACTATTGTCCTCATCTTTGTCACCATATTTATTACAACGTTTCGGCCGTTGTACGCTCCGGCCTTCTTCAGCATCTGCCTATATTTCTGAGATGAGGTATTATGTACACTATTTACATTATTCTGATTATTGTCCTCATCTTTGTCGCCATATATATTACAACGTTTCGGCCGTTATACGCTCCGGCCTTCTTCAGTATCTGTCTATATATCTGAGATGAGGTATTATGTACACTATTTACATTATTCGGACTATTGTCCTCATCTTTGTTGCCATATTTATTACAACGTTTCGGCCGTTGTACGCTCCGGCATTCTTCAGGTGGTTGGAATATCGAATTGAACCCTTTATTTCGCTCATTGGGGTAGACTGTTCTAGTTCCACGTGCCATATTTATTGTTTAGTGAGCGAAATATTCAGCGATAAAGATGAGGATAATACTCCGAATAATGTAAATAGTGTGCACAATACCTCATCTCAGAAATATAGACAGATATTTAATCCATATCTGGAGGAAGACTGGAATTCGAACTCTGTACGCCGATTCACCTTTCCGCGTGAATAGCTGTTACGCTACCCACACACCCGATAGAAATATTAGATGGACCCGAAAGAAAAACGAAATATGTAGAACAGATAACGGGACGATGAAAAATGAAATCTGGGTAGACAGCGAGTCATATCATCTTCAGATCTAGACACTCATATGGATGTCAGGTATGACATAGGGCTCATTCAGAAGTGACTAAATTATCGTCTGTTTACAACCGTTTTCTCGAATCAGTGTTTCCATGACTTTAAGCGAATGAATCCTTTCGGTACTAAAGAAGACAATCTTTTATCAGAACCTCAGAACTGTCGTTACGAAAGTACCAACAAAAAGCTTTACCAAATAACAAAAACAACATTGCTTGAACACATCCAACAACAACAAAATGGGTAGTAGATATAACTAGAAGGAAAAATAATGAGATAATGAAGGCTTTGGTTTGGTTTGGTTTGTTTTACGGCATATCAACACCTAAATGGGTTATTTAATGCCGACAAAGTTTTTATTGCTAATAATATATTATTTTTTTTCAAAAATGTATTGTTGGTAATTTTTCTTTCAAAAAATCTATTTCTGGTAATATTTTTTCCTTCAAAAATCTATTGCTGGTAATATTTTTTTTCAAAAATGTATAGCTGGTAATATTTTTTTTTCAAATTTGTATTGCTGGTAATATATTATTTTTTCAAAAATGTATTGCTGGTAATAATTTTTCCTTCAAAAAGTTTATTTCTGGTAATATTTTTTTCCTTCAAAAATGTATTGCTGGTAATATATTTTTTTTTCAAAAATCTATTGCTGGTAATATTTTTTTCTTTTTTTAAAATGTATTGCTGGTAATAATGTATTGTTGGTAATATTTTTTTCAAAAACTTATTGCTGGTAATATTTTTCTTTTTCAAAAATGTATTGCTGGTAATAATTTTTCCAAAAAAGTATTTCTGGTATTAAAACCTATTTTTCACTTCCATAGTGTTTTAACCCCAGTTTGGGAGTTAACTATTTACCCTTAGTTGGGACTCTAACAGGTGCTACCACCCAGGATCAGGGTGGACCTGGGAATATCAGAAATTAGGAGGTGGTTCCGCGCTTCTCAAAACCTCCTGATTAGAGTCCTTGCTGTTGAACGTAGTTTATCGTCTTACCCAGGACGCGGATGTAGTTTATTGTCATACCCAGGATGCAGATGTAGTTTATCGTCTTACCCAGGATGCGGGTGTAGTTTATCGTCTTACCCAGGACGCGGACGTAGTTTATCGTCTTACCTAGGACGGTGAGATAATGATGATGTTTAATTCCCTCACGGTGAAATCTGAGTGAAAATTGAGCATGTAAAATAATCGAACCTATTTCGCAGTAGATGAGGGGGAAAAATAAATTAATTATATGTTATGATACATTAATTCAAATTAATATTGAGATAGCGTGAGGAATATGCTTTTTTAGGAGTTAAAAACGGACATTTTTATTCTCCTGAGGTCCCGATTATGATAAAGATCTTAGGGTAAATTTATTTCAATTTACCAGAATCCTTTTAAAATATTTATTTTCTGAAATCTCTTCTCGTCATTAATTACGGACATAGGATTATTTATCAATTTTTTTTAATAAACTCGTTTTATATCTGCAAGAATATGAAAGCATATACTGTATCAAGAAATGCTCCCAAACTTTCATATCTGTTTTGTTTATTTTAGAGTACCTTTCCTGGAATGATGGCTAGCAAGCTAATCTCGTAGAACGTCGCTACTATAGTGAATCTGACGTTTACTGAATGACTCATTGTCAAACTTTGTCTTCTTTTAAGTACCGTATCCTTTCGGGGTGTGCAGGTGGTGTAACGGATAATGGCTCGGAGCGAGAAACCTGCAATCCGAGTTCGAATATCTGTCAAGTTTCATTACATTCACTTTCAGGCAAATATCCTTTGAAAATATATATTTTCCTCTCATCCCCCTTGCTATGAATTAAATAGTGTAGCAGCTTAGGTTGTTAACCAGTCTAGGAGAAGGATAATTCTGTATTCAAAACCATATATAGTCATGGCGAAGCTCATTGTACGCATCTAAAGAAAAGATTGTGAAATACATATGAAAGCTATGACAACTGTCGGCATTCCTCGGCTCTCGGGTCACATCCCGAGCCACGAATGATTTTTGTCCGCCCCGCCAACTTAACACCTGGACACTAATTATCTAATTTATTTGCGGAGCAAGTGGCAGAAAAATATCAGTTGAGATTAATCAGCTTGCAATGTGACGAGTTTTCTAAATCGAAATTTAATTCCGGATCCACTGCTCATTTCTACAAGAAAAATGTTTTGCCAAGCGGAAAATATAAAAATTTATTAAATAATGCGAAAATGATGACCCCATTTTTTGGAAGTACGTATTCTTGTGAACTTTTTACAAAAATGAAATATACTAAAATTCTTTTAAGAATAAGGTTGGGTGATGACCATCTGGATAATGTTTTGCTCCTGTCCTCGACAAATATTTCACCTGATGTGGAAAACAATAAGCAGAAACAAGTGTCTCATGAAATAATTTACCATTTCTAACTCTATTTCGTTTGCAGTACGGAATTTTTATTTTTTTGATGATTCTGTTAATTGTTCACTATTTATATTATTCGGACTATTGTCCTCATCTTTGTCGGCATATTTGTTACAGCGTTTCACCTGTTGTACGCTCCGGCCTTCTTCAGGTAGTTGGAATATCGAACTGAACCCTATATTTCGCTCAATGGGGTAGACTGTTCTAGTTCCACGTGCCATGCTTTTAATGGATATCAGAGTGTGAGTTCAGTACCCGGTTAAGGCAGTGGAGAACTTGGAGAGGAGAATTAACAAGAGATAACTGATAACTGACATCCATTAGACATGGCACTTGGAACTAGAACAGTCTATCCCAGTGAGCGAAATAAAGGGTTCAGTTCGACATTCCAACCACCTGAAGAAGGCCGGAGCGTACAATGGCTGAAATGTTGTAATAAATATGGCGACAAAGATGAGGACTGGGGGATACCATATACTGAACATGAGCAACAACGAAGTTTTAGAGAAAATGAAACAAAAAGGAAACTTATACTTACTATCGGGAAGAGACAATTGAAATGTCTACTGTATATAATGAGAAAGGAATGCTTGGAGAATCGGATACTCACAGGACATATGGAAGGAAGAGAGACAGAGAAAAACAACGCATAACATACTAAGCATGATTTAGGAGAAATAACAAAAACACAATCGTCCGAATAATCTAAATAGTGTACATAATACCTTATCTCAGAAATATAAACAGATACTGAAAGGCCGAAACGTTGTAATAAATATGGCAACAAAAATGAGGACAATCGTCCGAATAATCTAAATATTGTACATAATACCTCATCTCAGATATATAAACAGATACTGAAAGGCCGAAACGTTGTAATAAATATGGCAACAAAGATGAGGACAATCGTCAGAATAATCTAAATATTGTACATAATACCTCATCTCAAAAATATAAACAGATACTGAAAGGACGAAACGTTGTAATAAATATGGCGATAAAAATGAGGACAATAATCCGAATAATGTAAATAATGTATATAATACCTTATCTAAGAAATAAACAGATAATGTTAATTGTTATCCTGTTATTTCTACGGTGAAATAAGGAAACTTGTTTAAATAATATGACATTAACTTCGTTGTTTTTACTTTAAAGCTCCAGACCAAGGCAGCTTTCTGGACGAGCGGTTTGAAGTCGAGACAATTTATTATAGTACATTTGATATCATGGCCCTTCTCTGAGACATTGTATAGCTTTCTGGCCCGCCCTCTCCAAAAGGTTGCCAACCCCTGCTCTATAATCTCGACTATGGTTCACCTAAGGGATGGATCCCATCAGAACTTATGCGATCATGGCTCTCCTCAACCTTTTATTTTCTTTAAGTAACCATTGAATCTTTACCATCCCTTTTGTCCTTATTCTGCTATTTATTCGTACAAACTCGTTAAGTAGTTTACTCGCTGTTTCCCCTGCTCCTCTTACATTCAACATCTACCGTGGGTGTTAATTTCTGTAGGCCTTCTTTCCTCTATGTATCCCGGAAATTTCATCTGTTTCTTTCTGACTGGATGTATAAGTATCCTTTTACTTTTTTCTTAAAACTTCCTTATTGCTCACATGTTCCGTTCATGCTATTCCCAGCATCCGTTAGTAAAACAACATCACTCTCGCTTCAAGTTCCTTCTTTATCCTTCTCTCCTCTTTCTCTCTTACTCTTTTCATCCACTTCTTC